GAGGAGCTGCTTCCAACCCTCTCCCACACCTCTCCTCTTCCCAAGGGTGTCAAGGGGGAGCCCGGAGCCCCCGGTCCAGATGGGCCTCCAGGGAAGCCGGGTATTGATGTGAGTACTGACCCCCTGTGCCCCCCTGTCCCCCCCTGGCTGCAGCCCCCCAGCTCACAGCAGGGTCTCAACAAACTCCTCTCACCCCCAGCACAGGAATCCCTTTTCTGTGCCAAAGTCCCTCCATACAGGAGCTGAAAGCACCTTTTGAGTCACAGCAGCAAACACAGGTTGGGGCAGGGCTGCTGCTACCCCTTCCCACTGCTGGGGCTCCAAAAACTTCCCCACCCCCCAGGAAAGGCACAGCACCAACACCCCTGCAGATGAAAAACCTTCTCCTTGTCCTTTACTGCAGCTGCTGTCCTGAGCCCTGGCTCAGCTCCTGTTCCCTCCAGAATAAATCTGGAGCAACCCCAGAGTCACCCCCTTGGCACCCACATAGGTGGCCCTGGTGACTCCCTCCACTGTCCCCTCCCTGGCAGAAGCACAGCCCAGGGCAAAGGTGGTGGGCAGAAAGGGCACGGAGCTGCCTCCTTGCCCTGCCTTGGTGGTGTGATGGGCAGAGTGGGTGCCCAGGGGTGCTGATGGGTGCCCGGGGGGGTTGGGGTTGGGTGCCAGTCTCCTGTCCCCAGTGCAGAGCTGCGTGGGCAAGTTCCTGCAAGCATCAGACATTCACTCGCTCATCAGAAAGAAACCCAAAGCACAGGGTCCTCTTTTGTGTCTCTGGGTGGCACTTCATAAATCTGTGGGGTTTTAGTTATTCTTCAATAATAAATGAATAGAATAATAACTGTCATTATAAGCATGAATTATTCATCCACGCTGATCTGCCTGCAAGAGGGTTGGGCTCCTCTGCATACAGACGTGGGGTCTCCACTTGCTCCAGCCCAGTATGCCCAGTAGCATCCAGAAATGAACCCATGGGTGAAGCTCAAGCCACCAGCTGCAGGGAGCCAAACCCTGGCACAGCCGTGGGCGGCGCCCGGGGGCACCAGGGATGGACTCAGAGCTGGTGTAATGGGGATCACGGGGGGTCATGGGACCCCGTGTGCCTCTGCCAGGGCTGGGGCAGCCGTGCTTGCCCCCGGGGGTCCCTGCTGAGCCCTGGCAGGGGGCTCTGGGCAGCGCTGTGAGGCTCTCTGTGCCATCAGGGTGCAGGGCTGGGCACCAGCTGCAGCTTTCCCCATGAATGACCCTCGGCCCCTGGCACTGGGAAGAGCCCCAGGAGAGCAGGAGGACTGGCAGGAACCCCCCTTATTTCTCCTCTTGCAGGGCCTGACGGGAGCCAAAGGGGAGCCGGGACCTGTTGGAGGGCCAGGACTTAAAGTGAGTGAGGGGCTGTGCCAGGGGAGCAGCTCTGGGCTCCCACCTTCCCCTCCTGGAGCTGGCAGGAACTGGCCAGGCTGAGAGCAGCCCCACGGCCCTGCCAGGGACATGGGTGATGGAGTGGAAGGGGCATGGAGGAGGAATTTTAGCAGCTGACACAGAAGCAGAGCAGGGGTCGTGGGGCCAGACCCTCCTGACTCTCCCCTTGTGTCCTGTCAGGGCCAGCCTGGACTCCCAGGGCCACCAGGGCTCCCCGTGAGTATCTGCCTCTCCCACGGGTGCCAGTGATGCACCCAGTCTCTCCAGCACCCATGGGCAGGGTGGGAGCAGGGCAGGGATCCAGCCCCAGCTCCCCCTGTCACGTCCTTGGTGGTGGCAGGGCTGCTGTCCTGCATGGGGCAGGGGTGCTGGTGGTTTTGGGGGGGGGGTTAGAGAATTTGGACCAACTGTGTCTTTCTTCTTGTTGCAGGGTCCTTCACTGCCAGGACCACCTGTAAGTGCTGTGGGGCTCCTGAGAGGGTACCCTGCTCAGGGCTGTGCTGGAAGAGCTCAAATCTCAGCACCCCCAAAGAGGGGGCTCAGGGCTCGAGCTCTCTCACTCAGTGAATGTCTCTCTTCTTCTTAAGGGGCTTCCAGGCCAGGTTGGGCTTCCTGGAGAGATCGGAACGCTGGGACCCAAGGTGAGGGGTCAGCATGGGGCACGGGAGGACCAGCATCTGCTTCTCCACAGTTTGGGGATCTTGGGGTGAACGGGGATGACCCCATCAAGTGGGAGAGTGGGGTCCTGCAGTGGGAATGGAGGAGTGACAGACCCTGCCTGCACAGGTCCCCTGGTGCCACCATCCCCTCCCAGCTCACGGCTGGGGATGTCCCAGTTCTCTGGTGCTTCACCACCCCTCTCCACCCCAGCTCTGGCAGTGCCTGCTGCCTCCCCACCCCTAAATCTCCTTTCCTGGGGTTGTTCTTTCCTAGGGTGATCCTGGCCCCGATGGCCCGCGGGGTCCCCCAGGCCCTCCAGGGAAACCCGTGAGTACCTCCCTAGTCACCAGCATCTTCTGCAGGAGGGAGAAGCTTCCACCCAGGTCCCACCCAGGGGCTGGGGCTGGGACTTGGGTTCTGGCACACACCTCCCACCCCGTGCCTTGCTCCCCCCTCCTCACCCTGTAAAACAATGCCAGTGCTGAACTGTGGGTGCTGATGGTCTCTTTCTCTCCAGGGCCCCCCAGGACACATCCAAGGACTGGAAGGCAGTGCTGATTTCTTGGTGAGAGCTGCCATTACCTTGTCCCTTCAGCAGGCCTTGGGAGGGTAACAGCTGCTGGAAGAGTGGCCTGAAATACCAGTGTCATTTGGGAACTGGGGGCCAGTGGAGCAGGGAGGAGCAGGGTCCCCAGCCAAAACCATGCTGTGAGCAGTGGGGCCCTTGTGTCCCTACTCAGCCCAGCTTTGGGAGCCCATCCTCCCCCATGCAGCTTCTCCACAGCCTCTGGGTCCTTTCCCAACTGAACCTGTGCTGCTTCTTCCCCACCAGTGCCCGACCAGCTGCCCACCAGGCCCCAAGGGCCCCCAAGGACTGCAGGGACTGAAGGTAATGGAGCTGCCAGGGACCACCACCTCCAGCAAGCTGTGCCTGAGTGGAGGAGCCACCCCTGGTCGAGAGGCACAGGGAGCTTGGGAGCTGCTCTGCTCCCCATGCCCACTCAGACACTGAGATGGGTGGGATGCTGAGCCCCACCACGTCTCCAGTGGGCACCCCAGGGTGGGACGTTGGGCAGGGTGGTTCTGGGGGATGCAGCTCTGAGGATGCTGCCTCAGCCCCGTTGCTCTGTCCAGGGATGTTCATCATCTTTCTCTTCAACCCTTAGGGACACCGAGGCCGCCCCGGTGCCCTCGGGGAGCCCGGCAAGCAGGGCAGGCAGGTGAGTGACCTCACTGACAGGTTCCCAGCAGGAGCCAGGCGTGCCTGCCTCTGGGGGAATGGGGCAGATCCGGGGCTGGGAGATGGAGGGTGGACAAGGTGCTCTTCCCATGGCAGCTGCCTGGGCAGGGGAACCTGTACCCATCCCCTGCCAGCTCCCAGATGAGGGGATCTGGGGTCCCCAGGGTGGTTAGTACCCCTGCTCCACCCCAACCCTCACCTCTCTCCTCTCCATCCCTCCTCAGGGCCCCAAGGGTGACGTTGGTGTCTCTGGAGAACAGGGCGTCCCAGGCCCTCCGGTAACGTGCTCCTTTCTCTTGGCTGGTCTCCCCGCTGGGTCCCCGGGGGCGGGGGCCAGCCGGTCTGTGCTTGGCCCTAGACATGAGGGACAGGAGATTAGTGTGTCCCCCCTCCCGGGGACCCAGGGCTAGGAGCAGAACAAAGCCTTGGCCCCATCCACCTCCCTCCTCCCAGCCTTGAAGCTGCCCCCGGGAGGGTGGCAAAGCCACATCCCGATGGACACCTCGAGGGCCAGCACTGGCCTGGGCACCCTGGTTGTTAACTCACCCACCAGGCACAAACTAGCCACGGCCAGCGAGCCCCCCGAGCTGAAGGGGGGTGCAGCCCCCAGCTCCCAGCGGGACGTGGGGATTAAAGCTGCCCCAGCTCACCGAGCGCTTTGAAGATGAAAAGCAATTAAGGGGCTGAGCCCTTCAGGCCGGGCAAGGGCAAAACCGCTTTGAAGCCAAGAGCTGGGGCAGGGGGGAGCAGCACCAGTCTGGGCCCTTGCCTGTTATCGACCCGACAGCTGGAAAGGCCCCTGGTGGGGGGCTGCAGAATTCGGGGCGAGTGGCGGGGCTGGGACCTCTCAGCTTTGGCAAACCGGGCTGGTTC